GGCACAATATCTACACCACAGAACGTGATATATATATATATATATATATATATTCCTACAAGGGGTTCTCTATCCGGTTGCAAAAGTGGCTCGTTGAACCACCTACCCGTGGTGTCAGCTGGATGGTTCGGGTTTATCCCGTTCCACCAAATGGTACGGCGACAGTGTTCCAGAAGGTAGTGGGTTTCCGCCTGTGAAGCGGTAACCCTATAACAAGCCAAATACGTCCGGTAACAGCACTGCGACATGGTGAATGACTTGCCACTAAATAAAGGCACTGCCCCTTGCTTCACTCTGGTAGCGCAGTGTATTCCAGCGTCTTGAAGTTGAAATTATTTTTGGGGGTATACGACCAAACGAAAGGTGCATGAACTGAGTACGGAGTCACCGGCTTCTAATGGGCGTGGTTCGCAGATTTCGTCCCGTTTCCCTGCGGGGAGATTATTCAGCCAAAGCCCGCGGATTCTGCTCCCTAAAAGTCAACTTCCTACTTGGACCTGGAGCACAGCCCAGGAGTATCGTGCCAGCTGAGGAAACCATACGCTTTTTATTTCGAAAACTGTACCTTTCCTTTGATTTGCATGGTTGCATGATGGCCCTTTCTTCTGTGCGTAGACTGTTGGAACACAACACAGATGCAAAAACCGCTGGTCAGGAAAACTATACGTCATCTCATAGGGATAAGCAGCCAGTCTACCTATTTCCCATGAGACAAGAGAGTGCAGGTAAAAGAGTAGCAAAACGAACAATTTCTTCGCGGATCGCACTGCCATTTGTTGTAAACACGAGGGGAATCCAGCCCATTGCTGTTGTCATTCATCATCATCATCAACAGCAGTACATCAGCCATTTGAACTAATGCTTCGCTGCCATACAACCATGATGACCTATGAAATCAAGAATAAGAAGAGGGAGAGAAGGGGGACTTACCTGAAAATCTTAACGCCTTAAGCAAACGTTCAGGGTCAAGACGCCTACACCTTGTGTAGACAACATACCGTCACAAAAAGCTGACTATCGTGCAAAGATGAGGCGGAATCGGCGAGACAGCTTCCTTGCGGCTTTCACTGCCACGCGTCATAATCAGCCATTACCCGCAGATAACTCAGCACCAAACACACTTTAAACTGGCAATCCGATCAGGAAACGGCAGCAGACGCCCCACTGGTGTCTACTGCGGGCCATATCCTTTAAACTCTCGAGCCAAGCACAAGGCGAGTCAAGTGGACTCCAGCCCGGAAGGCGAAACGGACCAACGGCACCAAATTTGGTCGTCAGTGACTTCAATTTCCGCTGCCAAGTTAACTTCTGTTCACCTTGAGCCTTGCGCCATCCTACACCTGGTCGACTGAACAAGGCCCTCCTAGATAAGCGGTGACCAGGCATACGTAGCACGTGCCCGAGCCAACGCAACTTATTCAGTGCTATCTGCTGTATGCAACAGATAAGGCAACCCTTGATAAGCTGCGCGACGGCCGACGCAGGATGAAGTTTATGTTTGAAGAAAATGTCATGGTTTTATGTGGGCTGGGATATTGCCAGGGCACCCAGACCTAGATAGGAGGACGATTAGAGACCTCATCCAAAGCCTTTGGCTGGCTTGCCGAACAACCTCCTCGTGGTGCCAGCTGGGTGGTTCGGGATTTTCCCGTTCCAGCAAATGGTTCGGCGGCAGTGTTCCAGGACGTGGTGGGTTTTCGCCTGGCAAGCGTTCTCCCTATAAAAAGCCACATATGTCCGTTTAACAACACTGTGACGTGGCGGACGTGACTCGCCACTAAATAAAGTCACTGCCCCTTGCTTCATCCTGGCGAAGCATTGTATTCCAGCAATCTTATGCTGTACTTCTAGGGAGCATTGGGCCCCTGTTTGACAAAGGAACAAACGAAAGGCGTATGAACTGAGCAATCAGTCACCGGCTCCCAATGGGCGCGATTCCCTGAATTCGCTCCGCTGCCTTGCGGGCAGGCTATTAAGCCAAAGGCTCGGGATGGTGTCCTCTAAGTCAACACCCTACTTCGGCTTGGGCAACCGGGTAGTATCTCGCCCTCTGAGGAAACCATGGACATTGTTGTGTTGTGTTTTATTTTACTGTTTCTGTACCTTCGTTTTAATCCCATGGTTTCTGATGGCATTATGTCTGTTAACAGACTTTTGCAAATATATATATATATATATATATATATATATATATTGGCTCAAAAGCCTGTCCGCATGGCAGCGGGGAGGTGGCAATGTAGTTTTACAGAAATGGACGCCATCCCATTTCAAACCCCCAACATGGAGGATCAGGAGACTGAGTTTGTCTGACCTCTCACCGTTGCCCAACCTGGTAGGAGTAGCTCACAAAATGCTCGGAGGCATCACACAGTATAGCTCAAAGGGTCAAGGAGGTACGCAAATCGTCGAACCAAGTTAAGGTCCAGTCTCGTTGCCATTCGAAGAATGACGACCGCTTTGTAACCCCACAAATATCACACGCTGATGGAGACGGCTTTGGTACATGAGTGTGCCACCCAGCTTTACAGAAGGGAACAGAAATGCCTCGTCAGCAGGTGCTACACAGTGGCGACAGCACACGCACCAGATGCGTAAGAGTTACATTACTCACAAAATCCACAAGTAACCTACCATCGCCCTTTGAACATCAGAAGGACAGATACTTCGGTTCATTGGGAAGTGACGAGTGAGTGAGCCAATCTGCAACACCAGGAGAGATACTGTGAGCTCATTGGCAATACGTCGAGCACCAAGCAGAAGTCATGTATTAAACTGCGCACCTGATCGTCAGCCCTCGGTAGCTCAGTGGTAGAGCAGCGGACCGGTAATCCGTGGGTCCGGGGTTCGATTCCCGTCGAGGCAGAGTATTGAGCGAAAATGGGAATAACCACATTAGTTTAGTCGGGGTATGCACTATACAAGAAAGCAGTAATGTGACACCGAAGGGGCTGTTGCTCACACACCGTAGAATCCTCATTTATCATGAGGATAAGTAGACGATATGCAAAAAGAAATGTAAAGATGCAGCAAAAACTGCTTCTTACGCCATCCGCTTGCGAATTTTCTTCTTCTTCACGGGGGGCTCTCTTTCGCCAAGTGCATTCCGCGAGCATTTGTAACTTAAGTGACCGAATTCCTGTACGCAACGAAAGGTAACGAGGAACGAAAGTAACAAAACAGTGACCACATTGTCCGCATGTCATGTGTTCAACACCTACCACTAATGAAGACACAAGTTAAACAGTGAACCATTATCGAACGGTAACTATTTCTGGTGAAATAGAATGCCAACTGCTAGCATTGTTCCAGTGAGGTTTTGAAATGGAGTAGTGTTAAGGGTATGCGGTAAAGAGGATCGGCACAATATAGATATCGGAATGCATGTTAGCAATGAGGAACCAGATCGCGAATAGGCAGACAACACCATAACCCCAGGACAGACAGAGGATGTAAGACGTTACCTCAATCTCTGCTGAATGTCATGAAAGCGCGGTATATTCTCTCAAATTGCGGAATTTTGAAAAAATAGTTAAACCACCCTGCTCATGGGCACTCAATAGAGTAGTGGAAGGGTAGTGCCTAGTGATAAGAAGTTACATCAGCAACTGAAAACACGCGGTAAGTAGCTATATCTATGTCATGGACAAAAAAGCAGCCTAATGAGATACAAGGCGTGTTGGTCCTTAGTAATGGACCACATGGTTACGAAATTTAGACACACGGAAATACAGATCAAACAATAGATTTTCGGGTATTTGGAGCACCTGTCCTGTGTCTTGGATTGCGACGCGCAATCTTACTAGTGGCGTAGGTTGACTTTGGCAGAGGCTGACTTCAAAGTCAACCGACGCCACTAGTAAGATTGCGCGTCGCAATCCAAGACACACGGCGGGTGCTCCAAATACCCGAAAATCTACTTCTAACCGCTGTGTCAAACACTGCTCGCGGAGCTCAATGGCCTAGTGATCATGGCGATAGCCGCCAAGCACTGTGCGCCGAGTTCCACTCTCAGCTCGGCTATCTCTACCTGATGAGTCTAAAGAAGGACGAAACCGTCGGTCGTGCAGTGCCGGGATGGGAGAGAAAGACAAAACCCCTCCAGCTTAAACAATAGTTTAAACAGGGAATCAACTAGACAAGGTAAGGTCAGGCGTATTCGACAACTCTTAAGGGAACCGGTGCGCAAGGCAAAATGCCTGTGACTACCTGGTGATAAAGCTACCATTAAGCATCAGGAGAACACCAGCACATACCGTACCGACAAGTTGCTGCTACGTGACCACCACCGGTCGCGCGTGAGCGGCGTATACTGCGAGGTTTCCCGCAGCTGAGCGGATTCGAACCGGTGACCGCATTACAAGAAATGCGTGCAATCCTTTGGGAAAACGGCCGAAAACACTAATCAGGATCAACAGCAATACATCATCCATTTGAACTGATGTGCCACTGCCGCACACAACTATAACCGCTTAATAAATGAGAAATGCTAGAAGAGAAGAGGGATGTAGCGTAAAATATCAGTGCCCTAAGCGAACAATCCAGGTCAAGGCGCCTACACCTTGTCAACAACCATCACAGACAGCTGGTTATTTTGAAAAGATAAGGCGGCATCGGTGAAACAGTTTTCTTGCGGTTTTCACTGTCCCACATCTTATCAGTCAGTACCCCATAGATAACAACACCAAACACACTTTAAACAGGCAATTCGACTGCCAGCCAAAGCGGATCAAGTAAAATCCCATCTGGAAGACAAGACGGACCAACAGCACCAACTTCGGTCGTTAATGGCTTCATTTTCTGCTGCCAAGTAAGACCTTTGTCCAGCCAGAGACTTGCGACATTCAACATCCGACAAGTAAGACAAGTCCCTTCTTAGTAGGCAGTGATCGGGCATACGTAGCAGATGTTAAGCCAACGTAACTTATTCAACATGATTTGTCGTTATAAAGAATTCGCCTAGTACTCATCTATGTAAGTCATCGATACGGACAAGCTGGTGTCATCCGACAGTAGAAATGCTTCGCAGGTAATGATGGTCAAAAATTTTAAGGCTCCTAGATCCTCACGCGGTGTTTACAGGGGGACAAATACATACACTCAATGCAACCTAGTAAACATTTGGGCCGATGTGTTCTACAGTAAAGTGCCTTGATTTGTCTGATCTGGCGGGCTGATTAAAGTTTCTGACCAAACAGTTAGGGAATAGATCAGCCCACCTTCGTTCAACCCGCAGGGAAGCAGGTCCGCAGGAGACAGCTCCAAAAATGATAATCTCCCAATCAGTTCCAAAGATTTAGCGGATCAATTAGCCATGTCCACCAAAAAGTATTTGGGGAACTGCTTTGAAATTTCGAAAAATAAAAAATTGCTCTCAGTGATTCCGCCGTAGATCAAGAAACGCAACATCTAGTTGGACTGCACCTCTCCCCAAAGAGGATATACCGCTGTTTTTATCCGCCACAATTTAATATTGCTTATGTAAGAGCATGGTGCTAGCTGTTCCTACATGATCTGTGCTAAATTTGGACACAGCTTCTCAGTTAAGGACAAACATACCTATTAGTATTGTTAACATTATTATTAATATTATTATTAATTGTGTAACTGTTTTTCCATCCAGAGTGATGTTAGAACAAGAATTTATTTAGTGAGGGTTTTTCGCAACACCCAAAAGCCATACTCCCACCAATCTGCAAAAGCCCTAAATGACCGTTTCGTCCTTTTGGGATTCGTCCGTAGTGCGCAGCCCACGGATCCGTCAAGAACCGCGACCCACGACCTCGCGAGGCCAGCGGCTTATGCAGATGCCTATGCCAATGGATCACGGATGACGAGGTCAGGCCGGCATGAATTATAAATCAAGGAAATGGTTCCTTGTGGAGTTAAGGAATGCACACACCACTGGTGAGTCCATCTAGTGTGTTTCCAGGTGTTTGAGAGAATATCTGACTTGGAGCTATCACAAAGAATCCATAATAAGTAACTTGAAAACTCCCATTTTAGGTTCGAGAACAAAATACCATCTGGTGACCAATTACTTTCAATGAATCATCAAACCATTACAATGATATAGAGGCTAGAAATAAAAAGCGACCCAGTTAGTTCGAAACGAATAGATCACATGAAGGTCTAGGTCAGAAATGAGAAAACGAATTAGGTCTTAGTGGGCCGGTTGTTTGCTAGCGCGTCTGACCGAAGGTAGTCGACCTGGGCGTCTTTCGTCTTCGTTGGCCAGGGATGTTGGAGAGTCTAGACCAGCTTCTTCTGTGAGCATAAGGACGGCAGGAACAATCGAATGGATATTGCTTCAGCTGTCGCAAGTGTACGAAGGCAGTAAGATTTCGTTCTGTGCGGCGGAACCTTGTAAACTATTCGGAAAGCGCGTTTCCAATCCACCTCATGGCCTGTGTCCACACAGTGTGAGCCAGAATGGCGCTAGTAATGGTCCCGGTGCCCCCTTGACGCAGCCAACCAGGGCTATGTTCGTTCACGCGTTTGGATAACTGCCGCGCCGTTCGACCAATATATAGGCGCACACGAATTGACAAATAACCACTGAATTGGTCAGCATCGGAAGCTTGTCCTTATTTTGTGAACGGATGAGTGGTTCCGTGGAAAACATGCACTTCAACGAAGCTGCTGGGGAGGTCGACTTTACCACGGACGAAAGGTTTCCGGTTAGACGCACCGTAGCCGCGTCCCCTTTGAATGGTAAATGAATAAATAGCTTTCTTTGCTGCTGCTGACACTGGTATTGGTCCGGGTCTTTCTTGGAGGTTCCTTAAAATAAATCTATCGGGATAACTATTTTCAAGTAGAGTTTTCTGTATGAACGTTAACTCCGCGTCTAGAGTGTCTTCCGTACAGATTCGACGTGCTCCTGAGGTAAGACAATGAACCAACCACAATAAAGCACGTCACAAATGTGATACTGGTGGAAATGCACATATTTATCCAAACAGTGGTTTATTTAATGTAACGAGCTACGCAAGTGCCAGTGACCTGTTTGTGATGAGACAAGGTGGTATATGTTAACGCGCACTAAGTGACTGTACTCCATCGTGCATTATAAACTGGATGCCGCGAACGTCTGGACATTACAGGAGCTGACATGAGCAAGCTATCTCAGATTGGTTGCATGTGATTGTTTCTCAGTTAGGTCATCATTGTAACAAAACTCCGAGGTTGGTAACGATTAATCTCCCAAGAACCAGGCAAAATGGTACTAGGTGCAAGTGTGGAAAACAAGCCACCAAACGTACCCCGCATTCATAGCAACGAGATTTGTTCGGGTACTCACGCCGACGAATGAACTCCGACGCTCTACCATTATCCCGTGCAATGGATGCCTTCAAAGTGCGACCAAACAGCTAAGCAAAAGAGATAATATAGAGGAAGCAATGATTCAGAGGAAAGAGTAGAACACACAATCACAAGGCTTAATCCAAATACATCCGTTCCCTGCTCTCTTCAAATTAGCAAATGACTGAGGGAGCCTATAATGAATTCGGAGAAAGGCAACTGAGTAAAGGGAGCTGTGTTACTGTCCACCGCTGATCGGAATCCAATGTGCCGATGACATCAGTCTGTGACGCAAAAACAATGATCCGATCCACTCGCAAATGAGTAAGAGGCAATGGAATGGAAAACCGACACATCAGCGAAAGGCAACTAAAACAGGTTCGGAGAACGAAGATGACGAAGAGAGTAACGACGATTCCTATGGAGTGAAGTCATTTTTTGCTTTTAAAGTACACCTTCACCAAATTCCTCTCGTAGATCCTCAGATGTGAATCTTGTGGCATAGTCTATTTGATCAAAAATACAGAAAATAGTGACCGTTGGTTGCGAAACGAATGTTTAAATAGAACATACAGAGTAAACACCACTGAGGAGACCGCTTCGGGGCACATGCAGCTCAATGGGATAGGCAGGAGTCATTCTCTTCAAATGTGCACCAGCTACAATCAACGAGGCACCAATATCTATAACCTTTCCCGGCCAAGTTGTCCTCTTGGGCAAACGAAATAATCTGAGGTGGCATTCAACATGAGTCTACCCAATTAATTCGATCCGTGCGTACGCCAGTCACTTGTGCAGGTGTGTAGGTGTGCGTGTATAGCCCGTCGCCTTCAGCCAATTAGACCTCAGACGCACTAAGTCATAGGGGTGCAAGTGGGACGCTTCAGCTCCTACGCACGGAACGAATTAATTGTGTAGACTCATGTTGAATGCCCTCTCAGATTACTTCTGTTGCCCAAAAGGACAACTTGGCCGGGAAATGGTGTAGACAGAACAACGCATAATTAGATTTGGACATCGCGAACAAAGCGTAAAGCTGCTTCATCCAAGATAGAAGTGGTCCAAAGGGGCAGCGAACGAATGAAGAGCGCGAAACACTGAACTCGGACAGATGGCTAGCAAAAGTTGTCATGTGAAAAGGTACTTCAATAAAATATTGTTTCAGATTTGCGTACAGTATAAAATGAGGTTTTGTTCCTTAATAAACGATCTTTTGGATCGTTAGTCAGTTCCCACTCCTGTTCTTCGGCTCGACAGTTGTGGTTGCAGGTCGTGCAACAAACAGTGGCTTATAACTGCTTCCACTGTGATGGAATTTGATTCTATGGGTCGATGATCAAGACCATAGGAAGTTCAGGAGGTAATTCCAGGGTTCCGTGGGATATTGCCTGAGGTTGGTTATATTCAATACGTCTTCAGCCAGTGATAGAGACAGGAAATTTTCGGGTTTTGGAGCACTCGCCGTGTGTCTTGGATTGCGGCTCGCAATCTCAATGGTGGCCTCGGTTGACTTTGAAGTCAGCCTCTGCCAATACGGTCACTGGGACCGTCACCGAAGTGGAGGGTTTCGGTGTGGCTCTCTTTCATCCCTACACTCTACGACCGACGGTTTCGTCTTTGTTTAGACTCATCAAGTAGCAATAGCCGAGCTGGGAGTGGAACTCGGCGCATGGTGCTTGGCGGCTATAGCCAAAATCACTAGGTTTTTGAGCTCCGCGAGCAGTGTTGGACACAGCGGACTCCTAAATGATCAGCAACACGGATTTTTGAAGAAACACTCATGTAGCACAGGCAAATTGGATTTTCTATAAGGCGTCACTTCTGTTGTTGATGCGAAAATGACGAGACTGGTGATCTTCTTTGATATGCACAAAGCCTTTGACTGTGTAACATATAAGCGGCCTTTGTTGAAACTTAAAGCATTTGGAGTAGGCGGCTCACTTCTGGCTTGGTTTACTTCCTTCTTGGAGGAGAGCACACAAACCGTCATACTAGATAGTCTGCAAGCCCAACCCAGTGTAATAACGAGTGGATATCTGCGGGGTAAAGTCTAATGTGAAATGCCATTTCTTTTTGCGGATGATATGAAGATCGTCTACACATTTCCACTTGAACGCCTGTGGATAACTCTGAAAACTATTCAAGCAAACCTGAACTCCATTAATTTCTGGTTAATTAAATTTTCCGTGCGCAAGTCCTGAGCATGCTATTAACTTCTCAAACCTGCTTAATAGCAGTTATTAAAAGCAAGTCCAGCTTCAGGTCTAATCAACAATTAATAAACTTACCCAAAGCTACGATGGCGCATTATTTGATTTGCGCATGCCTACTTTTGGAGTATTGGCCAATCCTAGACAGTCCCATGCTCGAAAGTGACCCTACTATCACTGGATCGTTTTCAGTGGCCAATCACTAAAAGTCTTATGGGTGAACCGACACTAACAGCATATGACGACAGATGTAAGTTACTAAGCATCGAGCATCTATGACTACGAAGACTAAAGTTAAACTTAGATTTCTTTTACAAAATTGTCATAACTACCTACCTCTTGGTTACGACACGCTCTGAAGATCCGGTATCAACTCTCCTAGTCGGCCGAACGAATGTGGCTTGGAAATATTTCACGCACGGCAAAATTCGAAGTTGTACGATCCGTGAGACTTAGGCGCAACACGGTTACTACGTGTTAGTTGAACGGGCTGCTAGACCGAACGCAATTTCACACGCAGCTATCCAACTTCAGAGAACAAGACAAAAGATAGGCCTTTCGCGTAGGCACTTTTCCCGGCCAGGCTCAAGGCGATTACAGCGCAGTGCATAAGCAAACTCTGGGAGCAACTGAATTGGTACTATGCAAATATACCAACGGAACATGTTTAAAAGTGAATGTTGCTATTTGCAGAGGCCTGACTGGAAAACTAAATGTTTTCTGAGGTATAAAGGATAATCGAAACGTGAATGTCTCACGAGTTGGAAGACTGATCGAAACATGTGCACTTGTCTAAATCGAGTCTCATTGCCTTCCGTGATTAAAGCTTATGATCATTATGGGGACGTTGGGTCCCCAAAACAAAAACGATATACAATCTGAGCATTAGATCAAGTAATTAGTTTAGGAAGGATGGTATATACTACATAAGCAGCGGACAATTAATTCTTCCTCAGTAAAAGTCCACGTTGCAAACACGCAGGAATTTCATCTTAATACGATACTCAGTTATATGGAACCGACTGCCATATTCAGCATGAGCAAATCATGCTATCGGTCAGGTCAAAACGATACTAAATCAATTCCTTCTTTCCGAATGCAGTTAAACTGTTTGAACAACAAAAAACGACGGAATAACCGTGTTTCCAAGGCCTGGGAAATATTTAAAAAGAGCACACAACATAATTGTTACCCCGTCATACCCTTTCTTGCATATACACTTTGGTTTCGTTCATTTTTCACTGCAAAGCTAAGTTGGCGGCAGTTTGGAGTCAGGAGCAACGGGAACAATATCCGTCTAACTCCACGTCAAATGTGACCGAGGTGGAAAGTTTTTTTTAAATCTCCCGTCTTTACACCTGCTCTACACCATTAACTGTTTTCTCTTCCTCCTCGTAGTTAACAACCTGGGTATCCGTAACAGTTCTTGGTGCCCCACGAAGTAAATCTGCGGCACCAATTCCTCTCCTTTCTGATCGCCTGCAGCTGTCCGATCTAGCTCAGTACTCCAGGTTATATTGATAATATTTCTTCTATGATCCGTATGTGTAATTTGAATCAGACAACCATTGGAGATAAGCCAGTTATTTATCGTTATTATTCTTGATACCACTCCTATAGATTATTTTTCCTTCCATTGTTGGCAACGACTGGGCTTTTCGCTTGAGGTGGTGGATTGAAGCTTCCAAACTACCTAGTACATTCACGCAAGCGAATTGCCACATGCTCATTAGCAAATATTAAAAGTTCAGGACTTGAAACCGCTGATTGGTAGAATGCGCTGTATGAAGAGAGTGCCAAGCGGCCCAGTCAAAAGAAACGGCCTACTTGCTTATAACAGTGGCTACAAAAAATGAGTAAACATGGTGACAGCCTATATGATGATAACAGCGGCCTTAAAAACGTCAATAAGATGGTGGCTTGCTTGTTTTAGGCCACATTAGCACATGCCTAGATGAAACGTGAAACTGCAGGTGAAACTTTTCGTGAAATTTCCCCGCTTGTAAGTAGGCCCCCAGAAGACGGTTCCACGGAGAGCCGTATAGGTACATTTAGGACTCCCAATTTCTCCGTCCTTTTGTCAACTTTAACGGAGAGAACACCCCATATATTCCGTGGGGAACTACTTTGAAAGACAGCTTTCTCCACTATTCGAGTATGTCGTAAGGAATGACCAGACCACGTAGTCGGTCTGCCTCGCACTGTTGAGAAGCATATTATTTACTTGTTTATTTAAAGCGAACGATAGAAAATGAGTGAGTAACCGCCATGCTTTCCAACATTCAAAGACAATTTATGGTATTCAGGCTCTGTTTGTACTCTCAACATCAAATAAGATTCCAAGGTGATGAAGAAGCACGATGTCAGGTAACCATCGATAGAATTAAACACACAAACACACCGGTAGAAAAACACCTTTCTTCGTGAGCACCGTGAATCGTGTAGACAAAGGATAGTGGAACGCGCGTATCGCTCGATTTACCGTACGACGTGAAGCCTAAAACGCACCCAGGTGTACATCGAGATGAGCTGGGGCATCGGATATCTCGCGAAATTTACACATAAAAAACGAGTGACCAGTAACCGTAACCTAGTCCTACCTAAGTGTCCAAAATTCCATCAGTACGAAACAACAAAGAAGGCGTCGCAACAGTCATCTCAATTTTCTCTCTGTTTCGTCTAAATGGAAATGACATGCAGGATCGCTTAAGATAAGTAGTGTTAGAATGGATGCTACTTATGAGTAAATAGTAGTGTAACAGTAATTAAAAAAAGATAAGCAGCGCGAGACCAAGGGCAGAGGCTTACTTGGCTTTTGTCAAGTTTCATAGCGCATTGCCTCGCGTCATTGCGATCCAAAAACAGAGCAAATGCAACACCTTTACTTTTGCGGCTCTGTCGGTCTTTTACTACTGTTATCCTGAACACGAACACAGATGGAAAAATTAAGCGAAGTAATGTCGATCCGGACAGAGTAGAAAGCAATCAGGAGCGAATGTACTAAACTGATAAGAATCAACCGGCGCCAAGCAACAAAAACGGTAGGATGATCGATGATTTACGATCGGGAACACGGACCGGATAATGTAACAGGTTCTCAAATAAAATACTTGCGTTTATCTGATGGCTAGGATCAAATGAACTCTGATCTCTAACACCACACCAGTGGCGTTGCAAATCGACTGTGCTGATCCCGCTACTCAGGTAGGTTGCTTGATGAGGAGACATGAAGTGTCCTTAAACCCAGGTAACCTCGTGAAATGTCGTTCTCCCAAGTTAAATAAAACGCAGAAGTGGAAACACCCTGTATCGGAGTTGAGAACCGGTACGAGAGATTTTAAAATGTCGATCTACGTTGAAGAGTGTCTGGGGACGCAATACAGCATTAAACTCCGCAAGTAATAAAGTGAAGCAGAACGAATAATGAAGGGCAAAAAACCGCAGCAGAGTAAGCGAAGTAAAAAAGAGATAAATACCAAGTAAACTTCATGAACCAATCGCCGCGGGATTAGTCTCATTTCGGTTACCTCCAAGCTATTGGTATCCACTCTACACCGTAGACTATCTCTCAGTAGCGAATCACAGTACCAGGAAGAACAAGCTTGCTCCAGACGTGGCCGCGGGTGTGTGCATCAGATATTCACACTGTCAAATCCTGGAACACCGCCACCTATAACAGAGACCTACCAGTGTTGCATTCCTGGACATCCGTGTCGCATTCGACCCGGCTGATCGACCTGCACTATGGCGTAGTTTGCTAAGGAACAGTGCCCCAGAAAAGTACACTGCCATCCTACGCGCACTCTACCTCTACATCATTGATCGAGTGAGGGTGTATGGCAGGCCTTCGTCGTCCTTCGCTGTCAATAGTAGTGTACGACAGGACTGCTCTATAGACACCTTCCTCTCAAATGTTGCGATTGAAGACGTTCTGGCGAGAGCTCTACAGTTACCAAACTTTTGGTCTACAGCTACTACCGGGTAAGCGTGCGACCGACTTGGGTTATACCGATGATATCGCCTTACTTGGTTACGGCTCACAGAGCATGCAAACCATTCTCTAAACCGTTTGGAGATTGAGGCATCTAGGTACGGAAGGTGCTTTGCTGCTGCTTTAGGAGTGGCACTCAACTGTTCCCGTTCTCAATATTGAAGGTACACAGCTTAAAGAAGTGGATAGCTTTGTCCACCTGGGCAGCTGTGTGTCTGCTGGTGGTACCATTGGAAAAGAAGTTTCTCTTCGCATTGCCAAAGCTCGGTTGGCGTTTGTCAAGCTACAGCACTTGTGGTGTCGCCAGGATATCTCTTTCATGGTAAAGGGTCGTGTTTACAATGCTACGGTTCGGGCTGTGTTGTTACATGGAAGCGAGTTGTGGCCAGTTCGCGTAGACGACATGCGCCGGTTCTCGGTCTTCGAAAACGGGTGCTCGAGAAGGATTGCTTGTGTGTGGTGGCAACAACACATCTGCAACAGTGAAGTCAGACGCCGTGTATTAGGGAATACGAGTATTCCCTTATACAAGCTAATTTTGCTGCGACAGTTGAGGTGGCTCGATCATGTCCTGCGTAGGTCAGCTGAGCGTTTGACCTATCGAACTCTGTTCGCTCTTGCAAGACTCAAATGGAAGAGAACACGCGGTGATCCACCATCCACCTGGCGACAGCATATGAAATCGTTGACTTCACGTCTTGCCAGCATTGGATCTACACGTCTGTCTGGTTGGAGACCAAAGGAGGAGGAGTGTCGATGGCTGGAAACAATTCAGGAGATGGCTTGCAATTGAAACCGGTAGAGGATCTGGATACATAATTGTTAAAATTTGGATGTTTAATGCTCAATGATTGAAAACGATAAAAAAACTGCATGTGCAAAATAATAAATGCTTCGTGTTTTTTTATTGCGGCACAATAGCTGAAGTGTGTCGCTCACCTTCAGCTAATGTGTCATGATGATGATACGGTGTTAAACCTGTCTTCTTCCAGTGATATCCATGGTTTTGTTTGGCCCTGTCTATTTAATAAACGGCTGGTTATACCATTACTGCCACTACTAAACTTCAAAATGTACCCCTATAAGGTAGGAAAAGTTGAGGAGGGAAACACTCAGAGACGAGGAGCAAATTTGGGCACCTCACCGGTGAGAAAAAGTGTGGTGATAGAAGGATAGAAAAAAATTACACCCGCAGTCTCCGGATAGCAGTGTAAGGTGGTTTAATATGGTCAGGGATCGCTTTGGAGTGTGAAAGTCAATAAGCAATAAAAACATGGAAGGTGGAAGCAGTGTGAGGGAAAGAAATTTATCTGGTTAATTTTCAGTGGACCTTATCAACACACCGCATGGGGTCAAAATAGTTTGAGGCAAAAAACAAACAAACTACATGAATCGCGAGCAGTGTTCACAGCAGCGCAGCCACTAATGGAGAGAACGGGGCACAATGCAGCAAAGCGCAGGCTAGGTGTAAACAAACACCCTAAAGCAGTGACCATCAGAGTCAGGCCCTAATGAGACGAGCAAGTGATATGAGAATGGAAATACCATCATCCAGTATTTAGTACATTGTAATGCCCCACTATCACCGATATGCACTATGAAAGTCAGAAAGTGAGAAGGCGGAAAAACTCACCTTACGACCTTGCCATAAGGAAGCAGTAGCTGATGTAGGTCATTGTTTGTCAGAGAGAAGGGTAGATTGCTAATATACACAGTGCTCTTGCTGGGTGCCAATGTTCCGCTCATACTGAACGCACCTCCTGAGAAGGGTCAAAATGTCCAATTACATTGAACAACCGCGTACATAATTAGCAAACCTAAAAAAGAACAGGACAAATCTTCGTGAAACTGCCAAGGTTGAGCACAACAACACATCAAGTCCTTTAACCAGTAGTCAGTGTTCGTTTGTAGGAAAGATACGGCTCCCCAAGTGTCCGATCAACCGGTCACGCAATCGGTGCTAAGCAGGCCGGTACAAAACAGGCGCTTCGAACCCTAAGGATGCAGAGTAATTATAGCGGACTATGTTAGTAGGCGGTATCACAGTACGCCGGTACGCAGTATTGATGCTTTCCTACCACGCAACCACCACTAGCCGCACGTGGGATAATGATCCTGCCAGGATTGTCAGATCCCTACGCAGGCTCGAACCTGCGAATTGGATTACAAGGCAGGCTTGTGAGCCTAAGGTCTACGGGCCGGCATGCTGATATCTCCGGCCCTAAATATCATAGCACAAACATACGAAGTGCCCAGGTGGCTGTAACCCCACCAGTGATCCAATCAGCGAAACTGGCCTCTCACGGCGAGGTATCAGTATGCTTGGTCAAGTGAAAGGAATACAAGACTGCATGAGATCCAGCGCAACGGTGCGGATCAATAGCACGTATACCACGAGTAGGGCAAAGTAAGATAAACCATGCAAATAGAAATTGGGTGTTGCCCGCTCGAAAACACTGCACTACTATGACGCGTTTCGATGTTATTACACCTCATCAGATAGAGTTAGCAGTCATGGAAGTCGGGACCATTGGGATGTTAGTTATGACCGCTAACCCCAAGCCACCGGGTCACAACGGGCAACGCTTGGCACAACAATTTAACGAACGATGTTGAGGGTCATATTGAAGTACACGTTGTGTGGATGGATCGCGACGTGCAATCTCGACGTTGACCGCGATTCCCATTGGAGTGAACCTTGGTCTTTCGATCCCGAGGACCGTAGCTGATGCACATAGAAACTGGGCGTTGCCCGCCCGAAAACACTGCATTACTATGACGCGTTTCGATGTCATAACATCACATCAGATAGAATTAGTAGGCATCGAACCCGGGACCAATGGGATGTTAGTTGTGACTGCTACCCCCGAAGATAAACCTTATAGTAAATCATATGTAACGCATCCCGTAGCGGAGCTGTACGCTATTGGGCGCGTTCCCAGGTTGCGGAACAGGGAATGCCTTCCTTGTGGAGGTAACTGCGAATAAGTCTCGTTTGCTTTGCAGGCGATTTGAATAAGCCGTCGCGGAGAATAAACGGTAGCGTCTCAGAGCGTGGGGAGTTCTGACCTGGTCACCTGGTTCACCACCAAATACCACAAGAGCTCATACCGCGCTGTGTCAAAGCCAATGTGACCAGGTATAAGGTCACTGACCACTCACTTCTGTAACCACGAGTGAGTACCTAACGGAGGGCGGATGAACAACCTTGTTGGCCACCGGCTTCTCTGGGGACTGCTACTGAACACTAAGAAGGCGAATGAGCTACCCGGATGTCAACGGCCTCCTTGCGGGTCAGGTCTTTATGACCAAAGGCTCGGGGTGGAGTCCCTTAAGTCAACTCTCTTCCTCGGCCTGGGCCACCGGGAATCTCTAGCCGTACAACATATTAATCTTGTGAACCTTCCAAACTGTCGACCTGTTGCCCCATTTTGTTGTTGTTGTGGTTGTTGTCATCATCGTCGCCCGTGTCGTCATTGTTGTTGTTGTTGTTAACTGTGTTGTGGCACTGCCAACTGTATAGTGGTCGGGTGTTTAATAATAATAATAATAATAATAATAATACGTAACGCATGCCCGCACGCCGACTCTCGCGATATTCATTGTTTGTGCGATTGGGATCTGGATGGAAGAAGAGAGGAGGTCAACTGATGAGTTAGACAAGGGAAATGAAGACTCAATTAGAACGTGGTACCAATTGGAGCCCCTTGACTGCCGGTTCGGGAACCAAAAGACTAACAATGTGCTTGCCTGGATACACATTTCACATGGCGAAAATGGACCCAAATTGCGTCAGCGATGAGTTACTCTGTCCCTCCCCTCAACACACGACCTCAGTGTCGATACACAATAATAAAGTGTAACTACCTCTTCCTATTTGACATTTTGTACCAGTAATTATGGTTTTAGAATATCCAAACGCATTGTACAGGCGCACAGTGCCTGAGGTGTCTCACCGCCAGCCAATGTGTACAATGATGATAAACACGCACCAGCTGGTGTTCGGTATCCGCAAGATACATTAGATGATGGTAAGAAAAACAACTTAGAGATTATACCACAATACAAAAAGATAAGATAATAAACATTACAAAATATAAAAGCTAAAAAGATAATGCTAAGTATCATATCATGCATGGAGTGTGAGATGTTGACTGGAAAGGGAAGATAAGCGAGGCAAGGAGAGGGATAAAGAAAATCACAACACAAACGCCACTGGGGCCGTATCTTCGTCAGGTCAACTAGTGTATCCAGCCAAACGTTTTCATTCTCCTTCAGACCACAGCTCAGCAGTTAGCAAACACCAACCGACGATAAGTTCGTGGTGAGGATTTCTATTCCTCTTGACCATTGCTCGACAACCCATCCGACCATTCTATGCACACCCCGGTAGCGCAAACAACGCATCTCGGGGGAGTCGGCATGCTGGCATGCGTAACAAGTGGCCCAGCCATCGGAGTCTGGTGCGCGATAAGTGGTGCTGAGCGCTCATTGCTCACGCAGTGTTCCCGCCCCACATGAGCTAAACTGCGAGGGTGACGATGGTCGAACGTGATGTCGGGCCGGTGAATGGCAAAAGCACGTGTTGTTGCAATACGGTTCGTGACCTTATCTCCAAATCCACCGGCGCTAACATTGCTGCCGTTACTTGAATTCTTGAACGACTTCCCGATCCCTACCAATGGCCAGCGCAGAAGTGGATTCCTGCCAACCATTGAGGACATTGCATTCCGATGGAGCGAAGCATAGCCCAAAACGACTGACAGACAGTGCTAATCGGTCCAGTGCTGTTTGGCAGATTGCGGAGCTGCCAAAGATTAGGGCAATGTCATCGGCATATTCCAAATCGAGATGTCCACCACGCTTTGCAGGTCGTGTCCAATGAAAGTTGATTCCATAACTTTGGCAAAGTTAGAGAGAAATAGAGACAGCAGGCAACCTTGTCTCACACCGCTGAGGATATTGAAGGGTGGTGACAGTTTGCCATAAATTCCCACTCTGCCCGAACTATGTGCGTACAGCGCTTCGAGGTTGTTTACATGTTTAAGAGACACACCTATCCTGAGCAGACAGTACCAGAAGGCACATGGATACATAGAAGCGAAGGCAGCTTTAATGTCAGGGAAAAAGACGACGGTGGGTGGCCAGTAAACAGAGACTGCAGTACGTGTCGAAGTCCTCAGGATTCATCCACAGGAATTAACAGACAGATCAATGCCAATCTGCTTCAGTTTGCCGTAGCCTCAGCGCGATTCGGCGGCTGATGCCCAATTTGTGCAAATAAGCTGAACTTATTGCCAAACTCGACTTACCTTGGTGAAGTTACCGATCGCCTTTTCTTTGAACTGGAGGATCTTACACAATATTTCCCCTTTGTGTGCAACACGCAAATTGCACAGAATATATGTAAATAGCTAACGAGAATAGGCGAAATAACTTAATTCAGTCTTTCCGGTTAAAATCCTGCGTGAAAATTCTTAAAAAGCGCAATATTATGAAGCTTTCCATTAAACGAATTCCTGACATTCTGGTCACCACAGAGGATAATCAGTAGTGGCTATCTACTGCATCGAGAAGGGTGGATAGGGGTTGGATGCTACTGCTCAAGTATTCCCGTCTTCTTATTCCACCTCACGCTTTTTCATCCTTATCACCCTGTTCCAATTTTACTCTTGCCCCCCTTTTCAACACGCAATTCTTGACCCTCCCCACATTTTTGATAGGCGTTTATCTTTTAATTTCAACTCAAATGCGAACGCGGAGCGTCACCCCTGCTCTGTCGACAAGTCCATGTCTAAGTAAACGGAGAAGCCCAATTTATCGGCTTCTATTTGGAGTTCTCCATCATTCCCCAGAGTGACATGCCTCATCGGACGTAAATTAATATAGATTGGTCAACAGGCAGCACTTGCCCGAACAGTAGAGACCCTCCCGATCGATACCTACTGCTAATCGGAAACCAGCCTGCAGAATCCGAGCTCTGTGCTCGCTCTGCGTTCTTTTGCAAGTGACACCAGCAGTGCTTTCTCGTTGTTCATAGATAATGCCCATGGAAAAGTAAAACACCGCGTTGCAAAGAGGTCTCTTTTCGATAGTTCACATCAGGCAATTACAGCTACAAGACTGGTAAATGCAACAGTAAACTGGTGAAGTCAACAACGAGGACGGATGGGACGGTTTGAACAGATTTAGCATGTTCATTCGATGCTCAAATCGATATAATCAGGTGACATTGTGATAGGGTTAACCGACAGCAAAATGACTTGTGTAACCAGAAGAAAAAAACACTGACAGTACAAAAAGTAGTTAGGTACACAAATAAATAGCACCCGGTTATGAGTAACACTCCGGGGGAAGACTTATCATCAGGGCCATGACAAAGTCAAGGATTGCACAAGCATCCTATGCTTGTACAGCGCTGGTTGTGTTAGCCGGATTGCGATGGCTTCAGCCGTCTGTAAGAGGTGTTTCCTTAACCCTTTCGGGTATCGCCTCGGTACGGCATAATAGATCTTGAAGGCATCTTTGGTCAAAATCTGATGCCCACTTAGAAGCAAATGTTTCAGGATCGAGCTGTTGATACTTCTGAGCGTGCCTCTCTGCAGTGACAATGCTCAACCATCCGTACCGACAGACACCTGGTCGTTTGATCGAAGTACTTGGCACCACAGGTGCAAGTAAACTGGCAAACAATGTACGATTCGGAGGACACTGGCAGTCTGTCTTTAAGACATTGAGCTATGAAAGGAGCGGTCTCCGCAACTACGTGCGGGTGGGCGGCCGGATAGGTCCTTGCTACGGCATTAGAAAGTCTCCTG